ACTTGAACGCTAATTATTTAACTAATAACCAATCCGTTTCACATTTACATGAACTGCTACAGGTATTTATCCTAAATGATATCGTCTTCTACATTTTATACTGAACATATCTGGTCTCTTCTTGATGTTATTTGTGTTGGTAATCCTTACTTGATAGATACATGTTCTGTTGGGGAAAGTTTTCTAGACCAGCCTCTGAGGTAGCATTGCCCTATTATCTGTAGCCTAAATATAACTGTACCGAAGAAGTCGTCACTTAAACCCAACACGGGTTGTATGACCAAGGTAATTATGACATGTATAAAGAGAAACTTTCTAGTGTTGACTGGGATGATGTTTTAACAAATGACTATCTAGACGCCCCAGTCGATGGTTTTGCTGATGTACTTATTAACACCGCCAAGGAATGTATTCCAAACAAATTAGTAACAATACGTAGTAGAGAACCTCCATGGATGACAAGTGAAATTCGTAAACTAGCTCACAAAAGAAAAAGATTATTTACATTGGCTAACAGATCAGGAAACATAGAGGGTTGGGTTAAGTATAAAAGAGTAAAGAACAAATGTGTAAGTATAATACGTAATGCAAAAACTAAATATGTTCGTAAACTTTGTGGAATACTGGGAAATAATACACGTGGGAAGTCTTGGTGAACAACGGTATGTAAACTAATGTTTAACACTAGTAAAACGTGTAATATACCACCCCTTCAAATGCTTTTAATGAATTCTTTTGTCTTAACTCTACCGTTGATGATACTAATGCGGAACTCCCACCTACTAACAACAACGAATCCCTACTTACTAGTATATATATTGATAGGAACGACATTATCTCGGTTTTATCTAATCTAGATTCCTCTAAGGCAGGTGGGCCTGACCTTATAAATCCAAGACTCATGAAGGAAGCAGCAGTAATTTTGAGTTACCCTCTTCAAATTACCTTTATTAATTCTTTAACCACATTAATTTTTCCTAGTAACTGGAAATTTGCTTACGTTGTTCAAGTGTTCAAAAATGATAACCCTTCTCTTCTCAACAACTATCGACCTGTATCATTAATATGTATAGTGGGCAAGGTGATGGACAAATGTGTTTATAAATATCTGTACAAATTCATTATTGAAAATTCTTTATTATCACCTTCTCAATCTTGATTCAGGACAGGTGACTCTACAACTAATCAATTACTTGCCATTACTAACGATATATACTCGGCGCTAGATAAAGGTAAGGAAATTCGGATGATCTTTTGTGATATCGATATCAGCAAGGCCTGCGACAGAGTCTGGCATGCAACTTTTTAAGTTCTGCAGTAAACTTGCGTGGACACACGCTCACCTCCTCTGAACTTGCTTGACCCTAATTGTCGACGCTTCCGGCAGTTTAAAGTGAATTCACTGCAGTCTTTAAAACAGCTTTTGTATTTAAGCTACGTTTAGCGTCCAAAATCTGCTGTAACTCCTCTTTACAACAATAAAACGGCCTTCATTTGGTTCTTAAAATGTGACGTCATGAGCGTCACGGAAAAGGCCCCGCCTACCAATGTTTTCATTGGTTGAAATCGTATAAGCTCCGCCTACAAATATTCATGAGGGAGTAGTCCTCTTTCTGGCAGGGAGTAGTCTTTTTTTGCAGGGAGTAGTCCTTATTTGGGGAGGGAGTAGCTCTCAGATGGAGAGATTTAAGTGATTTAAAGGAAATGGGATATTATATCGTATTGTTTTTATATAGGGAAAACTCAGTAGAGTTATAATATTCTACAATACCGACGCAACGTAAAGAAAATAGTTCGTATACATAAAATGAGTTTTGGCCTTACTCCCCCGTACCTTTTACATCTACTCCCTCAACGCAGAATCGACGCTCACCAATATAACACACGTATTGCTGATAACTTGAACAATGTATTTTGCAAAACTGACGTCTACAAGAAATATTTTCTTCCTTCTTCTATTGACCTGTGGAATTCACTTCCCCCGGATATTAAAAATAACTCCTCAATAAGTAACCTGAAAAACTACCTACACAGACACTCCCTTACAGTTCCCCCTTATTTTAATTATAAAACGCCTCGACCAGCTTCATCACACTAGACTGAGGATGAACTGCAGCTCCTTAAATGCCGACCTGTTTAGTCGTAATCTTGTCGATAGTCCGTATTGCTCATGCAGACAGGCGAATGAAACTACTGAACATTTTCTTCCGTCTTGTCCTAATTATTCAAATATAAGAAATGAATGCTTTATAAATTTATCTGAAAATTACACTCTTGACATGCTTCTGTATGGAGATCCAAATTTATCTATTGGTGAGAACGAAAGCGTTTTCCGTTGTATCCAACATTTTACTTCTAAAACCAAACATTTCACAAATTAACAGTGCTGTCACATGAATCCCAGTGAGTCACAAATCATCTTTGTCATGATTTATAACATTTATTTTATGTTTGGTTCACTTATCTTATATTATTTTATCTTATAGTATTATATCTTATTGTATTTTATCTTATAGTATTATATCTTATTGTATTTTATCTTCTAGTATTATATCTTAAAGTATTTTATCTTATTGTATTTTATCTTATAGTATTATATCTTAAAGTATTTTATCTTATTGTATTTTATCTTATAGTATTATATCTTATTGTATTTTATCTTCTAGTATTATATCTTATAGTATTTTATCTTATTGTATTTTATCTTATAGTATTATATCTTAAAGTATTTTATCTTATTGTATTTTATCTTATAGTATTATATCTTATTGTATTTTATCTTCTAGTATTATATCTTATAGTATTTTATCTTATTGTATTTTATCTTATAGTATTATATCTTAAAGTATTTTATCTTATTGTATTTTATCTTATAGTATTATATCTTATTGTATTTTATCTTATAGTATTATATCTTACAGTATTTTATCTTATAGTATTATATCTTATTGTATTTTATCTTATAGTATTATATCTTATTGTATTTTATCTTATAGTATTATATCTTATTGTATTTTATCTTATAGTATTATATCTTATTGTATTTTATCTTATAGTATTATATCTTATTGTATTTTATCTTATAGTATTATATCTTATTGTATTTTATCTTATAGTATTATATCTTATAGTATTTTATCTTATTGTATTTTATCTTATAGTATTATATCTTATAGTATTATATCTTATTGTATTTTATCTTATTGTATTATATCTTATAGTATTTTATCTTATAGTATCATATCTTATTGTATTTTATCTTATAGTATTATATCTTATTGTATTTTATCTTATAGTATCATATCTTATTGTATTTGATCTTATAGTATTATATCTTATAGTATTATATCTTATTGTATTTTATCTTATAGTATTATATCTTATTGTATTTTATCTTATAGTATTATATCTTATAGTATTTTATCTTATAGTATTATATCTTATAGTATTATATCTTATTGTATTTTATCTTATAGTATTATATCTTATAGTATTTTATCTTATAGTATTTTATCTTATAGTATTATATCTTATAGTATTTTATCTTATAGTATTATATCTTATAGTATTATATCTTATTGTATTTTATCTTAAAGAATTTAATCTTGTAGTATTATATCTTATTGTATTTTATCTTATAGTGTTATATCTTATTGTATTTTATCTTATATTATGATATCTTATAGTATTATATCTTATAGTATTTTATCTTATAGTATGCGATTCACTAACCCCCCCTCCCTCTCTCTCTCTCTCTCTCTCTCTCTCTCTCTCTCTCTCTCTCTCTCTCAGTCCTTTATCACAAATATTATTCTTACGATGTTGTTTAGCTTTGTAGTGTTGTCATCCGCTTGTCAGTAATTAAGGAGACAGATTGTCATTAGTATTTAAATACTTTTTTCTGAATCCTGTACTTATGTATTGTATGTATGACATGAGAAAAATGAAATAAAATATGGTTTAAACGAAACTAGGTGTTTATTGAACTCCGGCCGATCTGGTAAAAGGCGAATGAGCTGTCATCTGCGCTCTCCGACCTTCAGTTTTCTGGGCATGAAACAGAGTTAAAAGCTTGTGTTAATTTGTTATGAAGTTTAACTACAACCCGTTAATTTATTTTGAAAAAGTTGAAAGGCATTCTGTAAAACAATACTTTTGAAAATTAAGAAATCAACTAGTTGAAGTTAGATAAACTTGACAGCAAGTCTATTTCTGTATAGGAGGCGCGGCAGTCTAGTGGTAGGACACCGAGCCGTGGCGGGTTCAAGTCATGGCACGGCACTGTGAGCATGATACTTTACTCCGCTTGAGCTAGCTGTGAGCAGCACAGGCTGTATGCTCCCAAGAGAGTTGAGAAAGGTATAGGCTTTAACCATGGATAATAATTTGTGAACCGCTTTGAAACGACCTACGAACTAGGTTGTGATAAAACGGTATATAAGAGCCTCTAAATATTATTAATTATTATTATATATGATGTTTACCCTCAGTTTCTGTTCAGATCACTGTGTAACGATATACCACACAGAGCTAGTACATGCTAGATATATCTAAATAGATGTGTTGGCTTTCTATACGCGTATTAATTTTCTACAATGAAGAAATAATTACATATTTCATTTTATTTTACCAATAATAAAGTTTTTTAGGTTTTTGTTAACAATAGATTATATGTTTTTAATTAAACAAGTAATACACGGACACCGCACTAGAGCACGTTTGAGCTACATTTTACCATAAAGGTAACTTACATTGTAAACAGACACTGCTATATTCGAGAGTAGATGTCCCGGTGTTTCCATTTTCCCCGGTTGTCCCGCAAAGTTCGAAACATCGTTACAAGTTCACTTTATTGTTCAAGATATCAAATTTGTTTTTAAACTAGCACTAAATGAAAACTGCGCCAGAGTAAATTCTCAGCTCCGTTATTATTTATCCAGGAAGGCAGATTACGTTATATAATTGGAATCAGACCTTTCTATATTTGTCCTAATGTCCAGATAATCGTGACAAGATAAGGGCACGTCTGGTGAGTAGGTCACATAACAGGCATTACATCGATCGGACGATTCGTGATTTATCACAATGGATTTCAAATCAACCGTCATTTTCGGTAAGTTTTTATTAATTTAAATGTTTTAAAAACCAATGTGTTATTTGGTTATGCTCAGGCGTCCGTACCGCTTACTACGTACACAGATCGTATTTTATGACTGTGGTAGCGTGTGCTGTGTATGGCCACAACTGTATACAAGATAATGATCCTGGCTAAGCATTTTTAAAGTACATGGGTGATATAATACAATAGCATACGTCATTCTCTCCTATTGTCAGAGATAAGTGTAGAGGGAGACAATATAATGGAGAGTAAAACCTCGATAGACTGCCACCAGGCGCAATGGCGATATATCGAGGTTTTACTGTCTACTGATATAAATACATGTCATAAATATCGCGTAGTGTATTTTATTCTTGTAACTCTTACTGACTTTTTGGATTCATATAAAAGTTCTCGGGATACGATGAGGGAATTCACATAGGGTATTCCGAAGTAATGAAACAAATTACTGGAATACGAAAAGCGAGTTCATATAATGTATTCCAAAGGTATAAAAGGCTCGAGCAATGCGATAAAAAGGAGTTGATAAAGGGAGTTGATAAAAGGGCAGCGCGCTGGAGGGCTGATTCTGCGTTTAATCATTCGTCGTATCAAATATATAAAAACGCCTGCATTAAGATGTAAGTATATGAAGTTAGTGATCGTTCCCTTAAACTTTCTCTCCTATTTCTTGCTACGTTATTGCTCCGGGTTTTTTCTCCTATCCTTTAGGTATTTTTCAATAATTTGTATTTTCAATAAGCTATTATATGGTTACTCCTTTCCTCGCTTTTTTCTTTTTCTTTCTTTAACAATTCAATGCACATTCCATGTATTATCATTTCATATGGTGGGTTTATACAGGTATGAATGATGTTTGTGTGATAGGATGTTGTTACACTATTTAAATGTAAACTTTATTTATTTAACAACAATTATGAAACAAGTTATTTCAACTTATATAAATCACGCTTGTTTGTTCGGATGTTAGTGTGAGCACGGTTTTAATGTGGGAGGAAACCGGAGTACCCGGTGACAACCCACGTGGTCGGGCAGATGACCCCATACCTTTTCAGGTCCGATCGGGGAATCGAACCCCGGTCGCCTTGGTGAAAGGCAAGTGCGCTATCCACTGCGCCACCCGACCATCTTATTTAACATTGTCAGAAACGTTTTATACACGGATTTACGATTCAAACTGAAGATATCCTGTACACATGACTTTGTCTCCTTTAGCTATTTTGGCGTCTGGTGCACTTGGGAACACTTCTCACCTGTGTGACGACATAGCACACCTGGACTGTCAAACTTACGTCCAAGGCGACACTGACGAGGAAGTGTGTGATAACAGAAACGTTTTGTACAATAATTTGTAAGTATGGGAAGGTTTAGAGGCCATGGACAGCTATTATTGATACGTACATAGTATAGAATATGTATGAGTATGGTAACGTTGAGGGGTCATGCACAATGATTTGTAAGTATGAAAATGTGTATGGGCCATTGAAAACGATTATAAGGATGAAATGTTTATGGGCCATTGGCAACGATTATAGGTATGGTAATGTGTATGGGCCATTGACAATGATTATAGGTATGAAATGTGTATGGGCCATTGACAATGATTATAGGTATGAAATGTGTATGGGCCATTGACAACGATCATAGGTATGGTAATGTGTATGGGCCATTGACAATGAATATAGGTATGGAAATGTGTATGGGCCATTGACAATGATTATAGGTATGAAATGTGTATGGGCCATTGACAACGATTATAGGTATGGTAATGTGTATGGGCCCTTGACAATGATTATAGGTATGAAATGTGTATGGGCAATTGACAACGATCATAGGTATGGTAATGTGTATGGGCCATTGACAACGATTATAGGTATGAAAAGTGTATGGGCCATTGACAATGATTATAGGTATGCAAATGTGTATGGGCCATTGACAACAATTATAGTAATGGAAATGTGTATGGGCCATTGACAACGATTATAGGTATGGTAATATGTATGGGCCATTGACAACGAGTATAGGTATGAAATGTGTATGGGCCATTGACAACGATTATAGGTATGAAATGTGTATGGGCCATTGACAATGATTATAGGTATGGAAATGTGTATGGGCCATTGACAACAATTATAGTAATGGAAATGTGTATGGGCCATTGACAACGATTATAGGTATGAAAATGTGTATGGGCCATTGACAACAATTATAGTTATGAAAATGTGTATGGGCCATTGACAATGAGTATAGGTATGGAAATGTGTATTGGCCACTCACAACGATTATAGGTATGGAAATGTGTATGGGCACTTGACAGCGATCATAGGTATGGAAATGTGTATGGGCCATTGACAATGATTATAGGTATGGAAATGTGTATGGGTCATTGACAACGATTATAGGTATGAAAATGTGTATGGGCCATTGACAACAATTATAGTTATGGAAATGTGTATGGGCCATTGACAATGAGTATAGGTATGGAAATGTGTATGGGCCATTGACAATGATCATAGGTATGGAAATGTGTATGGGCCACTGACAACGATTATAGGTATGGAAATGTGTATGGGCACTTGACAATGATTATAGGTATGGAAATGTATATGGGCCATTGACAATGATCATAGGTATGGAAATGTATATGGGCCATTGACATTGATTATAGGTATTGAAACGTTGAGGGGTCATATACAATGATGTGTTAGTATGGAAATGTGTAACGGGCATTGACAACGATTACATGTATGGAAACGTTTAGGGGTTATGTACAACGATTTGTGAGTAAGCACGCATTTGGGGGTCATGTACAACAACTTGTCAGTATAGAAACGTTAAGATACCATGTACAACAACTTGTCAGTATAGAAACGTTTAGATACCATATACAACAACTTGTCAGTATG